GAAGCAGATATCATTCCTTCTCGGTGACGAACGCACCACTGCCACGCGGAAGGGAACGCTTTCTCCGCAAATCAATCCTGTGAGAAGTGTACAGTTTTTTTAGTTGCACGCGAAAGATTATTTTGTTAATCGAGAGGTGTCGCCAAGAAAACGAAGAGGACTAGAATAATCCCTTGTCTCTTAATTGGTTCATTCAACCAGCCACACCTCTGACCAGAGACTCGAGCCCTGCCTTTTGTGCAATCATCGGTGATCTTGAGGGTATGCAAATCAGCAGAGTACTTTAAGCTGATCTATCCTGATTTCAAAATGAACTAAAAGCAATTCGGCTCAATATTGGACCGCTGAAAGTTCGTGCGTTGATGAAACTGCAGGCGGTGATCGCACGCCATCCTGATAACAGTCCTACGCACTCCGCGTGTTTGACATACGGTGATAGTTAGACTGTTGATTTCAACCGTGTGCTGCACAGCAGGGACGGTGACTTGCGCGTGGATCAGTTTTAGGTGACGTGGGCTGCATCTACCGTTCTCTCTCCTTTCGCCCCCACCCATGCCCGGTGTCAAGCCAGAATCGAGAAGACCAAAGACTGGGTCGAGCACAAGTGGCTGGTGCGGCGTGAGTCTGCATCTGCGCGTGCCACCATACCCTCCCCCCCATTTTCGGCATTTGTTATGGGAGCGCAACCTAAATAACGCGTCACCTGCCCCCTGTGTTGGACCATGGCGTCTACCACGCGGTCCGTTTAGGGTGCATATACAGATAGCGCTCGAACCCTATCCGGAAGTCTCCCCCCCCAACTCCAACTTCATCAATACCCTGACACCGTCAAACAGGTGGTATGAGAACGATGAGTGCGGCTAACCATTCCCACAGAGATGCATATAAACCCTCTACCTAGCTCAAAAGTTCCTCCATGTAATTGTAGCGGCCTGACGATGGATTACCTATAAAATATGGGCAGGGATTTTTTTTAGGTGTCACCAAAGTAAGCCTAAACCACACAGATGTTTGCCAGTTGACTTTTCCTTCATGAAGCGTTGAAGCATTCAGCCGAATAAGGCCGCGATTGTTTAATAACAGTATAAGCGTAAAAGCGTACAATAAATTCGTAGGGTTCTTTTAGCCTTTTGCTCCAAGTAGTCCTCGTGCGCGTTTTACATCTACCATTTATTCTTGTTTATACCGCCTAGGGATTTTAGTGTTAACTGGGACGGCCTTCTGTGAAGTGCAAATATGGGGTAGTGAAGACGTCAGGCATGCGCGCACCAGACTAGTCATCCGGTTCTCAGATCGTTAGATAGACTTGTTCTGTAAAAGTAACTGTCTGTTTTTGTCTTTCTTTTGCACGCCTTTCAGTGCACTTAGTCTGTCTCATCAGCGCCGATCCACTCAAACGTATACCGCCTGCCCGATTAGGTCCGATAACGAGGACTGTACCCCCCTGCGGCAACCGAAACAACTTCCTGGTATGTTCGTTGTTTTATCCTCTTCTACCTTGGATTGCCTCTAGGGCTTATTAAAAGCTGACTGTTGCGTCCTCCACAGCCAGCATGCATGTCAAACGCATACTTTCCATTACGGTCAGCATAGAAGACCGTTACCAATATTGTCATCTGTGGAATATGCAGGACTTGTTTGGATGTCTGTATGATGAAAATCTTTGATCTATTCAAAATTTGTTGACTCAGTGGTTGTGCGCGCCGTTTGGAGGACTGTCTGTGGCATGGAGCTTTTATCCTTCCTTTTAGGAATCAGTTCATATCTGGTACGCGTAGACGGACTGTTTAACTTGGTCAGCCGCTGTACTCAATCTCATTAGCAGTTAACAACCCTAGGTAGTTGGCTGATGCATAGGAAAGGGGAGAGGTAGTGAGGCTGAGACTGGAGAATTCAAGTCTTGCAACTTTTGAACCGTCAGTCCATTGCTTGCTATTTTGTACACTTTTTTGAAATAATACTGACGAGATTGATTGAAGGGTTTTTGTTTGTTCCCTTGTTCGCCTAATCGGAGGTCCCCTTTCTTGATTTTATAGGTGGACATGTATGAGGAATACACGTTTTTTATATGGTCACACGCTGAGGTCCTGACTAGTGATTAGAAGCTTTGAATCAACTCAG